GAGACTCGGTCTCAAAATAAATAAATAAAAATCTGAAAAACAATTAGTAAAATATTAACACATTAAATCTAGGTGTTGGGTATTCCCAGAACTGTGTCTGTTTTTGTACCTTATTATGTCTTTTGCACATTATAGCCAAACACCGTCTCATGTATTAGACCCATTTTAAGATTGAGGAGACTTGGACTTTGAGAGATGAGTTAATTTGGTCAAGGTCATGTAGTTTTTAAAAACTTGAGAATCAAATCCATGCCTGCCTGATTCTAGAGACTCTAAAATAAGCAACTTCAAGAAGTAGGATTTAGCCCTATTTTCAGTCACAAATCTTCCGTCTATAACAAAGCCACAAACTGAAGCATCAATTTAAAACTGTCCCTGATACTTGCTAAACTGAATACATCAAAAGGTAGGACTAGTTCAATATAATTTCAAAAGGGTTAAAAACCATATAAGTCTATAAGAAATAGCAGGTATTTTGAGAACAGCTTGGTTAGAAACGTAAAAAGCTAGAGATTGTTCAGAGTAACAGTGTTTAATAGGAAAGTTCTTTTTTTAAACAGTGGAGTTGAAAGAGACAGGATGAAAGTGTAGATGTGAAGTTGCCTATGGGGCTCAACAAGCAGAGAACATCTAGGCTGAAGGCTAAATCAATGTTTTACCTTGCAAAGCAAACACTGATTTCTCTTGGATGAAAGCTCAGGAGTTGGCAGAAAAAGGCAACTGAACCATCTATGGAAATGTATTAAATGCAAGTTGGATCCTGACTAGCTTCTGCAGATCACATACATGCATCTGTACTCACCAGTAACTTTTCTGCTCCAACCGAGAGGCTCTGAGACATTCCACAGGCCTTTCTTTCTTCTTCTTCTTTTTTTTGTTTTTGTTTTTGTTTTTGTTTTGTTTGAGATGGAGGCTCGTTCCGTCTCCCAGGCTGGAGTACAGTGGGGAAATCTCGGCTCACTGTAAGCTCCGCCTCCCAGGTTCACACCATTCTCCTGCCTCAGTCTCCCGAGTAGGTGGGACTATAGGTGCCCGCCACCACACCCAGCTAATTATTTTGTATTTTTAGTAGAGACGGGGTTTCACCATGTTAGCTGGGATGGTCTCAATCTCCTCACCTTGTGATCTGCCCACCTCGGCCTTCCAAAGTGTTGGGATTACAGGTGTGAGCTACCGCGCCAGGTCTCCACAGGCCTTTCTAAACCCGTGGCAAAATCATACTCACAAGACTGTGAGCCCCTCTGGGGTAGGAACCACACCATTCATTTTTGTTTCTCTAAATCCCAATTCAGTGCCAGGCTTCTAATAAGTGCTACAAAGATTGGATAAGTAAATAAATGCAATTCATCGTTCCATCCTATTTTTGCTGAGTCCTCTGAAGTCTTTCCCCTCCTATTGATTCCCACTAACCATAACTTAATCAGACAGTATTTTCTCAAACTGTAATTGCAATATGATCCTATATGATTTTTTTAATGTCTATTCTTTTCATACTGATTGATCCCACACGCTGACAGCAGGAATTTTGTAATAAAACTTTTACAAAGTGACATCCAGTGGTTATTGGATAAGTTTCCTCTTTCTAGCATGGTCACACTGCAGGCACATTTGCATTCCCTTAGCACAGCGTACTGTTCCATGAAACTTTCCATTTGTACATGCTACTACTGCTGTTCCATCCAGCAAACTCCATCTAGTCTTTAAAACCCAAATGAAGTCCTTCTGTCAAGCTTTCTCCTAATCCATCAGACACAGCCCTCTCTGTCCCAGCTCCTTTGTATATATGGCTATTTTAATGATAATTGCACTATAAACTAATTTTTAATAGTTAACCACTGTGGGAGAGAGGGACAAGGAAAATTAGAGATGATCAGGTGGGGTCTATTTCTCCTTTAATCAAATATGGGCTGAATGTTATGATTTGACCAATAAATTATGGCAGAAGGGACTCTGTGCCAGTTTGGGCCAACATTTAAGAGAACGGCAACTTCTGCTTTGGTCTCTCAGAGTCCTAAACCACCCCATAAGGCGTCTGACTACCCTGAGAGCTCCACGCTGTCATGGAGTCCAAACTAATATGCTGAGAGACTGGGTATAGAAGAACTAAGGCCCTAGATTTGTGACTCAGCCATCTTCACTTATTTGAGCTACCCCAACTGAGGTTCCAAACATAAACCATGCCTACTTGGTCCTGCCTGAATTGCTGAGCTATAGAATCATAAGCATATACAATAGGCATTGTTTTATGCTACTAAATTTTTGGATCATTTGTTATGTATCAATAGATAATTAGAACAACCTTCAACATCCACGAGTATTTTCCTAGTTCTCTTCCTACAACATTAGTTGTTATGGCCTTACATTGCTTTCTCATTAAACATTGAGGTCTCAAAAACTTCTAAACCTTGTTTATCTGCACTGATTTTTCTGGGGAAATTTCCTTCTGTATTAAGGCTTTAAATATCATGCTTATGCTTACGATTTCCTAATGTATATCTGGAGCTATCTCAGAAAATCCAGGCATTACCCAATTCCTTCCTTGATATCTCTATTTTAATGTCTAATAGGCAACTCAAATTAAGCACATTGAAAATGAGCTCCTGACCTTCACCAAAACCACAACTCTTGAAGTGCTCCCTATCTCAATATATGTATTCAGAGTCATCAAGTTGCTCATCATAGGCATTACTCTTGATTCCTCCTCTTTTTTGCAGACCTCATTTCAATTTATCAACAAGCACTGCTGACTCTACCTTAAAAATATATCCCAACCTGAGTGACCTTATAAAACATAAGACAGAGTCAGTCCCTACAGTCAAACTGCCAACAGCTTTTCATCACGTTTATAGCAAAATCTAAAATTTTTACCATGATGCTGTATAATCTGGCTGCCAGTGACTTCTCCAACCTCACAGAGTTTCTATTCCCTTTCTTCCTCTTTCTGTTCCAGTCGCATTGGCCTTCTTGCTGGGCCTAGGCATGCCAGACAAATTCCTGCCTCAAGGTTGCAACTCTTTTTTTCTCTCGTATTTTCCCTTGTCTTACACGTGACATTCATTCGGGTCTTAGTGAAAATGACATCCTCAGCAAGGTCCTTTCTGCAAGCCACATCTACAATGGAGACCCCGCTGTCGCTGACACTCTCCCATAGAGTTGCTCTATTTTTCATCGTTGTACTTTTCACCACCTGAAATTCATGTTACCAATACATATTTATTTGATTGCTTGTTTATTGCCAACTCCAACTATTTGAGGTCAGGTACTTTATCTTATGTACTACCATATCCTCAGTCAAGGAAAAGTGCCTGGGCAAAATACACATTGCTTAACTGAATAAACTCAAAGGAAGGAAGTAATCTTTAAATTCCTCAACTCACGGCCTTGAAATATTTCTTGGTACAAATAATATAGTCAAGGAATATTTGTGAATGTGTTCAAATTAAGTCTGGAAGTCATTCCTAACAACTTATGTAGCTGTCTTCTTTCGAATAAAGTATTTAATCAGGCAGTATGTGAAAGCAAATTTTCATGATTTCTGGGTAGCAGATTTCTGATTTTCATCTTAAGTATCAAGCAGATCTTAATATTTGATGTTCCTGTGGCTGATGTGCTTTTTGAGTAAAGTTCACTTTGTTTTAATAAGGTATACCCAAAAAAGTGATATTTGACTACCATGATTTCTTTTTTTGCTGAATTATTTGGAACAATAGATGAACCATGCATGGAAGTATTTTGAGGGTATTGTTCTTACATTTTAAACGTAAATCTGTTATAACAGAACAATGGGGAAAATGTGTTCTTGAGACACATTTTCAGGATGTCATCTAATTGGTAATGTAAGGCACATTTATATTTCTGACTATGCAGGATGCTTGTCAAAAGATGTGTATTTTAAAAATCAGAAAATTGAAATTCTCAAACATTACCAGGTTCTCTACATGCATCTTTTAAGCCATGTTATATTTTTAACTTGATTTCTAGACGAAGAAGCCTTTTACTAGGAATTTCTTAATATTCTATAGAGCTGGGGAAGTTCATGACAGCTCTGTGCCATCAAAAACACATCAGCATGTTTGGATCATTACTCTCCACCGACAAAATTCTCTCTCTTAACCAACTGTACATCCCCTTTTGTATTTCAATTTTATCACAATATTAAACCCTCCAGAAATGGCAGTGCTAATTTTTCACATACCTCTTTCATGTACTCTATTTTGCTAAATAAATTATTCACTAAATTTTGCATATGGTTCATTAATCCTCAATTGTGTGGCTTTAGTTTTTTCCTTTTAGAGGTAAAAGTAAGGTCTGCTGCATTTCTAAAGCCCTTTTTTGGATGTTCATTGTGCCCTGAGTTGTATAATTGGATTCTTTAGTCATATATCTTAAAAATGCACCACTAACAGAGTTGGAAAAATGTAGCACTACTAAGTTTAAATGTAAGAGTTCTATGCATTCAAATAAAATTTACATGAGGAGATGTATTATCTTAGTTTGCCAGAAAGCCACTTTAGTGTTTTAGACAACAAATTGCTCATGGTACATTTTCTATTCCAACATATTCCAGACTGAATAAAAATAAAAGGTACAATTGCAAATGCTATCACCGACAATTTGCTTCTTTTTGTGGCACATTTTAGATTTTCTTAGTGTGGGTGATTAATTTCACAAAGAAAGTACATTTTATCTTAGTGTCTGTGTGTACCTTACCTATCATGTTTCTGCAGTTATGAAAATGAACAGACACCAAGCATAAAAACTCGTATTTTGGAATCCATGAATTATAGTGAATTGTGACTTTTAAAGCAGTGTTGCATGGTGTTAAGAACAGATACCCTGAAATCAGATGACCTAAAGTCTCAGCTCTGCCACTGACTGGATTGGGTAAGTTTGTAACCATTCTGTGCTTCAGCTTACCTAATCAGTAAAGTGGAAATAATAATAGCACTAACTGCACGGGGGTGTGCTGAGGTTTACATGAGAACTTTGTGTAAAATAGTAAGATCATATACTTGACGAGTAATAGCTAGTTTTTTTCTAAAAACTTATTCTATTTCCAAAATATAATATTATTAAGTGCTTACTATTTATCTGCTCTTGTACCAGGAACTCAGGGAAACAACTGTGATCAAAAGAGACATGGTCTGCATACTTTCTAGAAAGTCTGATTGCAGTGAAAAACTGTATAAAAGACATAAGGTTATATACCTGACCACTTCTCACCACCATCACTGCTACCACCCTGTTTCATCATCCCTTGCCTCCATACTGGTCTCCCTGTTTCTCTCTTTGCCTCTATTTTCTATTCTCAATGAAGCAGCCAGAGAAATACTTCTAAAAGACTAGACTGATAATGTCACATCACTGCTCAAAGCACAACAATGGCTTCCATTTCAGTAAGAATGAAAGCTTGACTCCTTATACTGGCTTCCAAGGCCAGGATGATCATCCTTTTCTTCTCTGACTTTTTTTTTCCTACTTCTCTATACCTCACTTACACTTTTCTAACTACACTGGTCTCCTTGCTCTGTCTCAACAGCACCAGCATACTTACAACTCAGGGTCTTTGTACAAGTTATTTTGTTTTCCCGAGACCATCTTCTTCTAGGTATCCTCTTGACTAATTTTCTTCCTTCTTTGAATTTTGCAAAAATAATACCCTCTTAATGAAGTCTGTCCTAATCCCTTTATTTAAAATTGTAATCTGCCTCTACTTCCCATATGAAATGGCTGTCTTTTCTGTTTTTCCCACAGCA